AAATATTATCCATAAATGAACAATTTGAAAAGATAGGAAGAATTCGGTTGAACAGTATAGTAATTTGTATCGAGAGGGGTTGCAGTTTTTGTCTGTCATAGAGGGTGCTCGAGATTTTGACAAAAATATTATTGGAAATCGCTATTACTGGTATCGATTTTTATATTTACCAAGTCTGACGTGACTTTGAAGTCATGTCGGCGGCCTACTTCAAAAGTATTTTATGCAGGGTGCTTTGATTTGATATCCCATAACACTAATCGAAAATATATACAAAAGAAATAAAATAGAAGCAAGAGCAATATCAGAGCTAACTGAGCCCATAGATGTAACTTCAGGTATTAGGCAAGGAGACTTCACTAAGCTTCATTTTATTTAATATTATATTAGACGAAATAATTGGAGAAGTAAAAACAAAAAAAGCTATAAAATGGGTAACAAAGAAATACAAGTGTTGTGTTACGCCGACGATACTGTATTTGTAGCTGAGAACGAAGATGATTTGCAGACATTACTAACATCAGTTTAATATAAATGCAAAGAAATTTAACATGAAAATATTGACCAAAAAAACTAAATTACTAGTAATCTCTAAAGAACCAATTAGATGTAAGCTGGGACTTGATAACCAAATTATAGAGCAGGTAATGAACATCAAATATTTACGAATTAGATTATCATATGATAATAACATAAAGGATGAAATAAGAGAACAAACTGCAAAAGCTCATAGAATAGCAGCATAAATACTTCAGAACCAAAACAAAACATCGCATATATAAATCTGCAGTTTGACCAGTTATGACATATACCGCTGAAACAAGACCGGAAACATCTAAGACTCGGAAACAAATGAAATGAGAACATTAAGGAAAATAGAAGGGAAAACACTCTGGTATAGAGAAATAAATGAAAGCATAAGACACATATGTGGAATTGACAACATTAACACCTGGACAAGAAATAGAAAGCATGGAATCAACATACTGGCAGAATGTGCGAACAACGGATAGTGAGGATAGAAAGAGATAAATCGCCCACGAAAAAGATGGAACAAATTGTGATAAAAATTACACTGAAGTAAAACAGCAGAAGTGCCTAATATAGAAGAACAAAAAGATTTTTTTTTTAACTTTTTTGAGGAAAGATACATCAAGGACAAACTTTGGACCCTCTTTCCTCTCGGGTAAAACGGTTTCTTCGATTGAAAGAAAAACACATTATCCAATTCGGTTGAAAATGCGAAGACGAGAACATTAGAGGCGTTCCGCGGAAAATTGCGTAAAACTCCGGTTCCGTTTTTTTTTTCAAATATCCGGTAACCAAATATTTGTCGATTCTACCGTAAAAGCAATCCGGAGAAAAACGCGCTCGGCAGGAGGAATTCCTTCCACGGCGATGACGTAGATCCGACAGTTTTTCGTCCCGCGTGTTCCTTTTTTTTATATTTAAGCCAGGGGGAAATCAATAAATATAAAGCGACGGTGGATCCAGGTCGACGGGCCGCAATGCTCCCGCAAAATTAATGCGTTTTATTTTTAGCGGTAGGCTCATATGACAGTGGGAAAAATAATATTACGCAAATTTAAGCAGAATACTGGCGGCAGTCAAAAATTAAGCAACGTAGAATCCCTCTTTACCAAAGTTACTATTCCTAAAACTCTCGACATCATTTCAGATATATCAAAATCCGAGAATCTGGAACCAAACCTTCTCACCTTAATTGAAAAATGCTTGTCGGAAACATATTTTTCTCATAACGGTCAAATTTTTGAACAAACGTCGGGAGCAGGTATTGGTTCTCCACTATCACCAGTCATCGCGAATATATTTATGGAAGCCTCTGAGAAGAAAGCTCTCGACACCTTTCATCTAAAACCAAAATTATGGAAACGCTACGTCGATGATGCTTTTGTTATTTGGAGTCATGGTCAAGAAACCCTAGTAGATTTTCTTAGACATTTAAACTCGATACACCCTAACATACGTTTTACCATTGAGTTGGAAGCTAATAATAACCTGCCATTCTTAGATATTCTTATCAATAGAAAATCATCAGACCTAACATTGTGTTTGCAGAAAACCTACGCACCCAGACCGATACCTTAATGCATGGTCACATCACCATCCGGCCTAAAAATCATCGGTTATCAACTCTCTCGTTTACAGAGCCGTAAAACTATCTCAGCCCGAGTCACTGAAAACAGAATTAAAACACCTTACCTCTGCTCTTCTCTCTAATAATTTCCACATTAAAGATATCGAGCGTTCGATCAAAAACTACACTTCACCACAACCTTCCAATAGCAATGAGGCCGAAAGCAATCCTATACTTGCCACTGTGGTCCTTCCTTACATTCAAAACATCGCTGACCACATATCATAAGTTCTAAAGAAGTATAACGTCAAAATCAGATTTACCACTTGTCCAAAAATTTCTCAACATCTTCAATCCGTCATAGACGAAATTCCATTTGAGATGCCAGGAGTTTACAGCATTCCATGCATATGCGGTAAAAAATACATTGGAAAGACCGGACGAAAAATATCAACTAAGCTCAAAAAACACGAAAGAGCCTTACGACTAAGACAAATAAATTCATCGGTTGTTGCCGAACACACTCATAAAACCGGGCATAAAATTTTATTCGATAAAACTAAAATTCTTGCATGTAATCAGTTCTACCAACGAAAAATCCCAGAGTCTATAGAAATCTATAAACAACCTAACAATCTTAACCGCGACTCAGGTCTCTACCTGTCACCAATTTTGGAATCAGTTATCCGAGACGGTGTTTATACCCCTTATTAGGGCCCCCCCTCAAACAATATATAAGCAGGTACAGAGTAAAATACGAGCCAGTTTCAGTCAAGTTCTGTAGAAGCCAACAGAATGATTGGCGAAACGTCAGCAGGAATCCATTTTGTAAAAAGCTTGAATATTATTTTATCTTAATAAAATAAAGATTTTAGAAGTGATAAGCATTGGTTAAAGCAGTAATGGGGAAACTACGGCCCGCGGCCAGCTATATCAAACAATAAGATTAAAAAATACGAAATTAATTTGAGAAAACTATGTTCAGAATTTGAAAATTTCAAATTAATAGAACTGAACTGTAATACACTCCTCAAACATACAGTTCATACAGTACCATTACTAGAATTTTATAAAAATCTCAGTCCAGATAATTTCCCAATGAAGATAATGCAGTATTTACTTAGCCGTCGAAGCTTTGGGGTTGTTTAATAATATCCTTTATTCAGGTAATTTCGATAAGGAAAATGACAGGAAAAGGCAAGATTGCAGCGCCCAGACGTATCTGCTTGCTGATTTCTACACTCATCCTTACACATAACATCACACCATGGTTTTAATTAATTTAATTAATTAATTAATATTTACAAGTCTAACCTAATTGTATAACAGATAAACCTACCTCTATACATAAAAAAACTATTAGCTAAAGTCAATGCTAAAGTACGATTTTTTAAAGAATTCTAGCAGTGCATTGATTCTTCCTGCGTTCTGTAACTTTTATCATACTACATGCTGGCTGTGAAGCTGGTTGGCTAGATACCGCTTTGTTGCTTTCTGCAAAAGGTATCAAAGAAGCAAAGGTTGACTACCACGCAAACATGACAGCAGACATCTTTGAAAAATGATTTTCTGAAAAATTGCTTCCCAATATTCCACCAAATAGTGTCGTCGCTAGCTACCATTCTGCACAAGCTAAAAAAAATATGAAATTCATCGTCGACTAAAGAAGCTATTCAAAATTTCTTGCTTGAACATGATATGTATCGACAAATTGGCCATGGAGCGGGGATTCAAAGTTGTTCGTTTTTCACCATATCACAGCAATTTTAATCCGATAGAATTGATATGGAGACAGCCGAAAGCCAGTTTAAGAAGAAACAACACCTCGACAAACTTTACAATTAATTAGAAGTAAAGTAGAAACATATCTGCTTGTAGTTGGAAATAATGTGTAGAACATGTCATCGAAGAAGAAAATGTTTACAGAAGTGCCAGAATTAATGGTTAATGTGGGGAACGAGTCCAGTAACGATAGTGATTATTTTAATGTAGAATAACTTTTTTCTTATAAATATTTTAACATTGTTTTGTAGCTACATTTACTCCTTTATTTATATTTATAATAAACATTTTAAAGTAGGAATGATTTTTTCACTAAATGAAGTACTAGTAATCGAGGAATCTCACCCATGAAACTCTACAAAAATCCGTCAGCTTTCAGTATTTGTATTCACGAATTATTGAAGTACGGTTCTAAAACGTCTATTTATTCAGGATTACAAAGACAAACCCAAGTGAGGTAGACCTGCTGTTTATAAAAATTTACTTTAATAAATTTATTTAATTTAAAGTTACATACCGGATTATGTCGTAAAAACGGTATATCGTTCGTAGAACTCCACCATTCATAATGTGTCTTTACTCGATATAACGCTGCTATAATAAAAAAATGTATCGTTGAGATTATATTTTTCACATATAAAATGGTGTTTTAGCTTTACTTTTTGCTAATTTCAGATGTATATCCGCTAATAATAAAAAGCAAATACTGAAAGTATTGGAAAACAATAAACAATTGAACACAATAAATAAAATTTGGAGAAAAAACAAATAGTACCAGAGACAAAAATGTTCTTAAAGTGTGCTATGTGCTATAGCTATGTGCGACCTGTGACATATGATTGCTTTGAAGATAGTACTCACTCTGGCGCCTTTTATATTATATTTTCAGCCTGAAACTGAAACTTGATATACAATACAATAACAATACAATATAGCAGCAGTTGAGATAACAACTACATTAGAAATTTGGTCTTTTCTGCACCCAATTTCTTCAAAAACTTCCCTGCACTACCATTATGATAATTTCTGTGAAATATCTTAATAACATAAGAGTATTATAATGATCCGACACCCTCAAATAGTTTATTGGAGGTTTAATTTTTCCTCGGAATATTTGCAGAAAGCACGTTCACCGTGAAACTCACCAAAGGCTCACGCGGCTTGGGCTTGAGCGTCACCGGTGGAATTGACTGCGTCGGCTCATGGCCGGGCCTCGTCCGCATCAAAAGACTGTTCCCCCATCAACCGGCCTTCTCCTGCGGCTTACTCAACGTCGGCGACTTGCTCCTGGAAGCCAACGGCGTTTCGCTCACCGGTCTAACCAATTACGTAAGTATTCAGGTCTAGATAAAGATAGTTAACCACAGGACAGACCTGTAACGCTCTCAAGCAGAATCGGAAATGATTTTGTTGATGTTGAGATTTATACAGACGCATTAATGGTAATTTTTGTGAATGGTCGTTTATCATCTGTATCTTTTAAACATTTTGCTATTAAAGCGTTGCTGTTACTTTTGGTCCTTTTTTGGCTTATCGATACTTCTGAATAATATGGCCCACATGGGTCAATGATGCCCTTTTGAGGACCGTGTGTAGTTATTTAAGAACGCTCAGCGAAGCAACCGCGTTTGTCAAATAACTAATTTTTAACAATTAATTATAATACAAGAAATACACTAGAAGTAATCATCATGTTTCTAATTTATCTAGTATAACCTGTTCCCTATACAATTTACAACAATAACTTTTTATTTTTCAAAGAAACTTCCACTGAACTTGCTGACGTTTCGTCAAGAGTTTCAGTCAGGAGAAAATTATTTTATATCTGAGAAAATATTATCTATAACCGCAAGATATTTTACTATTTAGCCAAAGTATTAGTATAAAACATATCTTCTTTTAGAAATCCATCTTCGGTTCTAAGGTGTACAGCTATTATTGTTCTAACTTTTAGCCATGATACTTTTAATACTCGACGAGCATTATTAACGTACATTTCATCCTGATAAAAAATATTCTTCTGCTTTAAGCGGTACTAAGTATTTTTTTCTTCTAACAAACAAAATTCATAGCCTCCAATGTTTTTCATAGCATTTTTTAATTTATTAAAAGAGCATTATCCTCTTATTCAAGCTCCATCGAAATTATGTCTAGAGTAAGTATTTCCTTTGTAAACTTATGTATTGCATATTTTGTGTTATCATCAAGGATTTTTGCTGATCTTCCTTTCACTTGGTGCCTTTGTGTCTCCAATTAAAGTTATTGTTTCACATCTTTCAACATTTTCTTATATTGGAATACTAGGATTATGATTCATGCCAGGCAATCATATACATCTTGACTTTTTTGACTTTCTCATTCAGTGATTTGGGAAAATTTTAGATTCTCTTTTACTTTCTTCTACTTTTACTTTTAAATATCATTGTTACTGTTGACATCATATAGCAATTAGATAATAAGGTAATGATTTTCCGCTCATGCCCCCACATTTTCCTTCACTTTGCGCCATTTTTTTTCCATTTCCACACACTTTTCCTAGTATATCCAAAGTTATTAACTATCTGTTAACTACAATGTTGCAAGGTCATTGAATGGACCTTTCAAAATTTCTTTCATAGTTGCTTCTTGTATTATCGGCATAGGCAGGGCCTTTATATCCTAGAAGCTACATGGTTGGCACTATCGAATACACCGTCGTCTTTCCTTACCTACCTGAAATCTTAATTAGTATGGTTTTATGCTCTTGTTTATTCAAAATACTTATTTTACAAGCCTTTAATACATATTATTTTGATTGCAAGTTGGTGAGCTAATAAGCGAGAAGGAAAAAATCAAAGGTGTGTATGGCCAGCAACATCATCACGACGAGCACCGGTATCGCTGTATTTCCTGCAGATTTTAATTGTCCCCAGAAATTTCGACAAAATTTGCACAATTTCACTAAATATCTACCATCGATGGTAACAGGGGTCCCTAACACCAGAATACTTTGATATTTCATTTTTATATATGTCGACTCTCCTATCTTCAAGTGGTATATGTTCTCTCTTGTTTCGTTTTGAGTGTTGTGAGAAAGTTTATTTATGATTCATATTATTTATCGACCTAACCTAAACACTTCGTAATATTGGGGATCCACTTTGGCATTTTTCTGAAACGAAGCTTAGGTTGGGTTTTGAGAAGCTCCGATAGTTTGATAGATTGTTCATTCACTGTTCATTTTTGGTTTTGGTTCATTTTTGGTTGATCTTGCCAGTTGCTGATCGTTGGTTTGCTGATGGTGCTGATTCGATTCTTAAACTCTTATTCCTTGTTCCTTTTGAACCAGTGTCGTGCATTATTTTAATAAGTTTTTACATTTACTTTTTTTGTCTGACATATTTATGATAATTTATTTTCAATATCAACGAAAAAAAGAATCGCTCTCGAAAAATCGGAAATCGAGTTCGTGGAGGAGTATCAAACGTTGCCTCACTCGACCTCCTCAAAAAATTATCAATATCGAGGTGTTGACGGATTTTTGAGTATTTGAGATCGAACCCGACCTGGCTCTTCCGAAAACCATAAACCTACAGCATGCATCGAGCCCGCGATCGAAAATTCAGGATTTTTTTATTTGAGGTTTTGAGGAGGTCTATATTACCAAAGTATGCTATCTCGGAGACTACTGGGCCGATCGGGAGGAAGCTCGGGGAAATTCTCGAGGAGTTCAAGGGAGGACGTACCCGACCCCACACCTCCCCTCGCTTAAAAAAATTTGCTCCAATAGTTGATTTTTCATTAGTTATTTTGTGGTTGATCTTGCGAGTCGCTGATCGTTGGAATCGGAAATCGAAAATTCCGACAGGAAAACATGAACGCGTTCGCAGAGTAGCATCAAGCGTCGCCTCACTCGACCTCCTCAAAAAAACCTCAATATTGAGGTGTTGACGGATTTTTGAGTATTTGAGGTTGAGGTCGGACCCGACCTGGCTTTTCCGAAAACCCTATACTTAAGCACGCATCGAGCCCTCGATTTTTTTATTTGAGGTTTTGAGGAGGTCAATAGTAAGAAAGTATGCTATCTCGGAGACTACTGGGCCGATCGGGACGAATCTCGGGAAGGTTCTCGAGGAGTTCGAGAGAGGAGATACCCGACCCCCCACTTCCCCACGCTTAAAAAAAATTTTTCCAAATAGTTGATTTTTCGTTAGTTATTTTGTGATTGTTCTTGCGATTCGCTGATCGTTGCTTTGCTCATGGTGGTGATTCGATTCTTATTCTCTTATTCTTAGTTCCTTTTGAACCAGTGTCGTGCATTATTTTAATAAGTTTTCACCTTTACTTTTTTGTGCGTCTGACATATTTATGATCATTTATTTTGAATTTCAACGTTTTCGAGCCTGGAAAATGGCGACTGCAGCACACGATATTGTCAATTACCGCAGAAATCACCGCAGGTCGTAATTATATCCGGATCCCGTTTGCTCGTGGAAAATGTATCCCCGCACTTCCCGTTTTTTCCTTGCGTTGACGCAAACCGAGGGAAATCCGCATCTCGCTCTCGCGAAGTTCAGCAAACCGGAAATAGGCGCGCAAAAACCGACGTCGGAGACGAAAGCATCTGCGGAAGAATTTCTTGCCGTTGCGGAAAACGCGTTTTTTGTAGCCCTCCCACCCCTTCCCTCTTTCGCTACGTAAGGGCACGTCGGCAGATGTCTTCATTTAATAATGTCTCGCTAGGAAATGGCGGTAATCGCGGTCATTAAGACGTGAAAGGGATTATCGTGGCGACGAGCGATATTAGACAAGACAAATTTTTCCCCCATTTCAAAATGACAACTGCTGTGTAAAATGTCATAAAATTGCTGTTTTTTTTTGCAAGGTTATCCCTAAACTTCATTTTGGTGGTCAGCGGCAATGGAAGTTTACTATAAACTGACGTGAGATGCTAAATTGGCATTACTATAGAACTCTGTGTCGAGCCCAACATACGATAAATGGCGCTGACTGTAAAATGCTATTTACGTTGTGATCTGGTCGTAATTTTGGACCGACAAAGCATTTTCGGATTTATATTTTTGCTGCTAACTCTGTTTTTCAATGACGAAATAAGTTTTATACGAAATAGGTAAAGTTCATGCTGACTAAGGAACGTTTGAAGCACCACTTTGCTGCTGATAACCAGCAAAACGATCATTTGTGATGGTGAACTCTCTTATTGGTTTTTGTTGAAAGTAGCAAAGTATTTGGCACCCAACTTTCCCTCGAGCCACATATTCTTTTTCCTCTAGATGCAGGTACTTTCAAAATATAGTTCGATGGAGAATTTTGCCACCTTTTCTTTATAGTCATGAGTGTCGAACGAGATCTCGAATCTGAGTTAATTATTTTTGTCTCCATTAAGCCTTTTTCTTCTGAATATTTTTAAATTTAAATCGGATGTTGTGTGGAATTTTTAATGTAATCCGCTCTGCATCGCCGTTACAAAAACTTTCATTTCGCATTTGTCACGTCATTCGTTCCTTTCTAACCAATCATTATCGCAATATGGACCTTGGAATGCCAGTTAACTCGACCGTCCTCTCAATGACAGCTTCCACGCCCTCTGGCGTTTTTAGAAATATAAATTATTTGCAGATTTTTTTATTTTGCTATGTTAAAGTTTCGGGAATATTATAGTAAACATTAACTGATGTTTTTTCAGACAAATGTTTCAAACTTAAATATGTAGAAACGGTATGTGCAATTATCAGATTTCCCTCATATACTCGCAGCACTCTCTTGCAGCACAAATTCAAATGACATTTTCATTTTGGTTCGTCACCCTCTTCATTCCATCGTCGAACAAATAATGATTGTAGTAAAGTCTGTTCATAAGAAAGTGACTAACTGATACGAATTAAGGAAAGACCCGGGCAAGCTGTAAGAATGAAATATGGCCGAACAGGTCCGTACTTTGCTTAGAATTTAATTATTTGGGGTTCTGTTAGAAAAGATACTAAACAATATTTATTTATTTATGGATGTATTTATGTTTAAATCTAAAATAAAATTACAAATTATTTTTATTACCTAGTTAAATTACTTAAAATTATTCATATAATATATCAGTATCACTATCGCTATCATCGCCTGTTCTAATTATTATTTGTTCTATATTATTTGCAATATGGATATACGATTGTTCTGCTTTTTCTAAATATTTAACAGAATTTGCCCAACTTTGTGGAGGGATGTTAAAAACTTCGATTTCCATAAGTTTGAGGACATTGGAGTTAACACGGGGAAAAACATTGTTACGACGAATGGCTGATTTCAGGTGGTGCCAAACATGTTCAATGGGATTAAATATAGAGTGGTAAGGTGGAGGAAAGCCTTAAAACTGTATGCCCTAGATTTTTTGCATAATTATCACAGACGTATTCCTTTTGTAGATTCAAGCTTTGTAGAACCTCAATTAATTGCTTTTTGGTATAATCTTCGTGAAAATAAATGTCGTTATTATACATATAGTTTTGGATTGTTGCTTTTGTGTCACATGAAGAAGGGGTTTTAGTCAACTGTCTACTGTGATAACTTGTATTGTCCATTACAATGACCCTATTAGGAGGAATGTTTGGAACTAGTTTGCTTTTAAACCAATAAATCAGCGGTGGTGTCTTCATGGTAATCCAGAGAAAAATCTTTAATATTTTTCCCAGACAGAGAAAGTCAAAGTCAAAATAGTTATCCTTTTACCTCTTTTGATGGCGCGTTTGTTTTACACTTATCAGTTGAGTCAACCCAACCCTTTTCCGGGGTATCATAAGTGTCGAACCAGGTTTCATTCAAGTAAATAAATGGCCTTTGTTGTTCTCTGTAAATCCTAATTACTTTCTAGATATTCCAGTCGCCATTTCCAAATTCTAAAATATTCCATTAAAATTTGCCTTTTGTCAATTTTTTTAAATATAAAACCCATGTGTTGAATACACTTCCACATTTAACACCGGTTTCATCTTTTTAAGATATTTACGATTAAGATATCTAATGTAGGCATGCTTTGTTCCTCGTATAACTGGTAAATTTTACGCCGTATTATATCTTGATCACTTTCATCTACACTCGAGAAAATATCAGCATCGCTTCTTTTTTTCCTCGCTGAAATGGGATTATTCACAATTTTCCATACAGTTGATGTTGGAATTTTCGTCAATGTGGCAGTTTCTTCTAAAGATACTTGCTTGCTGACACCACGTTCAATGAGAGTCAAATAAACATTGCTTATAACTTCCTTAGTCTCAATAGAATAGTGTTTTCTACATTTGGGCGGAAGCATCTCTTGAGATACACTAGACCGCATATATTTTGTATAATTCGCACGAAATAAGAATGATTACTAATAAACTTAAACTAAAGAATATTAAACACAGGTAGGTATAAAATTATTTTCTATTACGGACCACAATTTTACCTGAATTTTAATTCCGAAACTTTAGGTAATAATCTTATTGCATTGTATGTTAATGACCACCCTTGGATAATCGCATTCAAAAGCAATTGGTCACTTTATTATATCTATGAACAGACCATAACACTAATGGCAAAGCGCAAATGATTCGACAATTTCTAATTTACTAAGTACATCCTTTTTTGCGAGGAACATTGGGGATTCTTGCCTGGAAAATCTACTATACATGCAGTTCGAAAGGTTAGGGTCAGAGATCGTTAATGGTCTCGAAGAGGGCGATCATCTATTGGCTTGTCTCAATCTACACTATTATTTTTTGAATCGTATTTTCAAAATCAAACACAATACGTTATTTTAAACGGGAATGATACATCCACTTTAAATCTAAAACCTGGAGTCCCACAAGGATCTCTCCTAGGGCCACTTTTCTTCACTACTTACATAAACGATTTCCCTTCCTCCATTAATCCTAACAAATGTACACTTTTCGCTGACAATACAACAATAATTTGCAGAAATTCATCTTTAATCAGATTAGAGAAACTAACTTATGGTGTTGCGCTGAAGGCTGTATTAGTTTTCGTGTAACCATTTATTTTTAAATGAATCATAAAACATAAAAACTTTAAATTTCAACCAAGCATCTCGTAGTAAGGGTTATAGCGTCACTCTCCTGGGTGGCACCTTGGAAGATAATCTTAATTGGAGTGCTCATATTCATTTCTTATGTAACGAATTAGCATCTACGCTATGCTTAGAACGTTGAAAAACATACTTGGTACGGAGGTCCTACTTTGCATTGTTTCATTGTAAAATATGCTATGGGGAAATAAGGGTTTTTACACTCAAACAAAAAAACAATTACCGAGAATCATGTGGACCTTATTTTTATAGTCCTCGTATAATGCCAGTACCTTCAATCGTTATATATAGCATTTATGAAATCCATAGAAATAAGACAAACTATATATAAGTACCTCGCTGTCGTTGAGATAAAACTAAGAAGAGGGCAATCAAGCCAGTGTTTATTAATAATATGTTAATTATAAATTCTAATTGGCACCATTTGGCAATTTGTCCTTTAGTTTGCCTACGCTAAATCTTTGTTGTTTTAATATATTTATTTTATATATTTATTTGCACAAACTGACATAGTACATACACATATTCCTATATTACGTGCTTAAATAAACTAGGGTTGTTGGGAAAGTCATTTCGTTTTTTTTGGGGAACATGAAAGACAGTTTTCGTATAATGAATAAATATTTTATTAAATTATATATTGGCCGTTCTGGTCCAACATCTTTTGCCATCTTTCTGGCAGTAACATAATTCCCCTCTCATAAAATTTTTGGTCCTTGCTGGCAAAAAACTGGTTCAGGTGGTTTTTGACATCTTCATTTGAGGTAAAGGTTTTGCCATCCAAAAAATTTTGCAGGGACCGGAACAAATAGTAGTCGGAAGGCGCAGATCTGGAGAATATGGTGGATGTTGCAGTACGTCCCATTCAAGCTGTAAAAGTTTTTGGCGAGTGACCAAACTTGTGTGAGGTCTCGCATTATCCTGGTGGAACACTACACCCTTCCTGTTGATTAATTCGGGCCTCTTCTCTTTAAGTGAATCATTCAATTTGTCCAGTTGATGACAATAGACTTCTGAATTAATCGTTGTATTGTCCGGCAAAAGCTCAAAAAAAAACGATTCCTTTGACATCCCACCAAACGGAGAGCATCACCTTTTTTTGGTGAATGTTGGCTTTTGACACGCTTTGAGCCGGTTCATCTTTTCTGCTCCATGACCTCTTGCGTTTAACATTGTTGTATACAACCCATTTTTCGTCCCCAGTAATAATCCGCTTCAAAAATGGATCATTTTCTTGACGTTTGAGGAGCGAATCACACACGTCAACGCGACGACACAAATTTCGCTCCGTAAGGACATGGGGCACCCACACATCGAGCTTCGAGGTTAAGCCCATGCCTTTCAAATGGCCATAAACAGTCGAATTCGACAAATTTAATCTCTCACCGATCTCTCGTGTGGTTATTCGCCGATTTGCATCAACTAATGCCTTTAGCGCATCTTTGTCAGCTTCGACCGGCCTTCCAGACCGTGGTGCATCTTCGACATCAAAATTGCCGGATCGAAATTTTGCAAACCAGTTATGGCACTGGCGTACTGTTAACACGCCTTCTCCATACACATCCGTCAATTTTTTTCTCGCTTGGACAGCAAATATGACGAAAATGCTGCTTATTGCTCTCCATATTTAAAAGGGCACCAACCAAAAACTACTGCGTAGAATTAATAGAACTTTTTCACACACAAGCCTTGCAATATCAGCTCTCAAGACATATAATGGTTATGCGGCTTAAGTGTGAAGTTGGTTTCGAAAAAACGTAATTAAGTCCTCTGACGGGAAAAAACGAAATGACTTTCCGAACAACCTTATAAATCCCTTTACTAATAACGGCTTCTAAATCAACTTCCGCTATTTATCGTGTGGTGGACTCTACTGGGTAAATAAATTATTATTATTATTATTATTAATATCACAAGCAATTTTGATATTTTGAGTTTTTCCAAGACCCGCATAAAATATATCCGATTTCAAATAAGCATATTTGTCATGTCCAATAAACTATTTTTTTTCTAATTCAAATATGTGATAGAATATTTATTAGTTGGTAACATTATTAACATTAACATATTATTAACATTATTAACATTACGTTAATATGTCCTCTTGATCCAATTCATGCTACTGGGTCGTATAAGGGTACTACGAAAAGAGAGAAATCTAAACAAATAAAATTAAAGTTACTTTTAAAATCCAAGTGCGTTTGAAATTAAATTTCAGGGTGCATGTTCGGTAATAAGTCCCTACGTGTATACCGACGTTATTCGCGTCCCCAACAATACAATTTTCGGTGTTTTGTGTTTATTCTTTGACCTGAAAGCTTGTTTAGGATTTGCCCGAGCCGCGCGACTATTTCGCGGTATGTGTTTATGCGCGTGCCTAATTTGATTATTCTATGTGGTTTACTTTCTCTCTTGCATTAAACGACGAAGTTTTTGTTATCCGTTTGTTTAATTTTTTTATTCCAAATTCATCAGGGATGTTTGGAGAATTTAGCTTTATTTTGTATTATTTTGTTAATGTGAACATCATAATGGTGTTAACTGTATATATTTATCTCAACGATAAGCAGTTCTCGAAGAACTTTTTTGGTTAGTTGATACGAGTCAATTTTCGCGTTCCACTGGTTATTATCATGGTCCCATTTAACTTGGATATGTGCGCTGTTATGCGCGTAATTTAAAACGGTGACTCCGCAATCATGACTCCCTATTTCAAGTGGCAACGGCGCATCTTGACATTCAAACTTGCAGGAAGCGCTTGAAGTGCTGAGAACGGCCGCTAACCAAGTAGAGTTGAGGGTCTGCAGACCGCCTCCCGATGTGCTCAACTGCGTCAGCCCGATATCCGAGGTTCCCCCACCGCCACCGACGAGGCGGGAACCACCGAACAGCCTGAACCTTCCTCCGGTTTGCTTCGGCACCACACCAGAGGACGAATATTATCATGGGGTAAGAGATGGAACTTTGAGTAGGCAATAGCCTACCTGTACTATCTATGCAAAAAGACGGAAGAGTAATTGGTTGGCCAGGTTAAAGATTTAAGCAATATTCCGCACTGTGAACTGAGAGGATTCAGAGATGTAGGTGTTGTGTTACGTAACACCGAAGGCTTTAGCAGGCTTCGGTAGTACAAACCTCAATAATAGATACAATACAGACAGATACTACTATTCTTATAAAACATCTCACAGTTTTACAAATTGAGGCCAAGAAGTTGATATAGATGTAGTTTTTTTGAACTGTTGTTGAGTTATCTTACTTTACAAATCACTTATCTTTCAACGCAAATGTGTATAACAACTGTGTTTTTCTGATCAGCGAAGATACTGACTTATTCTACTTAAACTTGAATTTGTTTAAAACAAACGTACACGAGAAGCAAGGGTTCGAAATTCGAATTTTCTCAGTTCAATTGTCTTACAACAGTCTTAATTTAGAACCATTTAGTCTATGTCCCTACATTAATGACGTGAGGTCAAAATTATACAGGCATATATTCAATGCAGAGAAGAATATTCCCCCACCAGATCTTACCAAACATTCAAAGGGGATCAATATTCCAAAAGAAAAACACCTCACGCCATTAAGAGGACCCTAATCTGGCCGGTGATCGATATTCTATCAATGTCTCACCCCCCCGACATCACTTTCCAGGAATTCGAGGTGACTTTGACGAAGATCCAGGGATCTCTGGGGTTTACGTTAAGGAAGGAGGACGATAGCGCGTTAGGGCATTACGTTAGAGCTCTGGTCCGGGAACCAGCTCTAACAGATGGCAGGATAAGGGCGGGCGATAAAATCATAGCCGTGAGTAAAACGTTGGCTTGTAGTTTAATTAATTTTATTGCAGTTTGTCGGACGGAAGTGATTCCTACGTTTGACCTTTTCGTTCGTTTCGGTTGGCGTATTTGGAAAATTTGATCTTGCATATTATTACACTGTGCCCGCAATTTGAATGTTCGCGCTCCTTCAAAACAACAAGTTACTATTTATTGCCATCAAACTTAATCATTTATCGTTCCTATATGGCGTGCTATATATTTTTTTACAGCAGTTTATTATTATTATTATTATTATAAATGTTTAACTTTTTTTTCGCAAAAGTTTAATACAAAAGTTATAGACTTTATTATGTAGATTTAATAGTATATACTTACTTATATTCAACGAGTGATAAAAACCAATACATATCAAAGTTATGTTTTCTTAAATTGGATGCCTTGTATATTATTTCATAAAAAGTAAGATCTTTTTACGCTGATTTCAAAAATATGTAAGAAGACCAGAATTAGTCTAAAATAAAAAAATTACACTTAATTGGAAATGCATCATCATGGCAATTGTTTTGTATCTTTAATATTGTTATTGTTTAAAAAAAATGTTTTCGCAAAAATTTCAAAATATTGTCGTTGTACATAAAAATTTTAACAATGCTAATAGGGGTAGCGAATGGATTACATACAAATTATTAAAATAATAAAAATACATAAACCCTGAATTATTAAACATTTAAACAGTAAATATTGGGACAATTTCAATATTGTCCTGAATGCACAGATGACGCCCTATTTTTAACTTATGTTAAACCATTATTCAGTCAGGTTGCAAATCATTCAGGTTATTTATTTCAATTCTAATTAAGCCTGTAATGTAATTTTTATCCAATTTTGAACAATAATAATATTCAAGATATGACGCAATTGTTATATCTTGAATATTATTATTGTTCAAAATTGACCATTTTATTTTTGGTTAATTCTAACCCTGATGTAAAAAATAATTATATTTTTTAAATCAGCGTTTTCTTTCCAATTTAAAAAATATAACTTTTATAAACCCTGGGGTATATAAATATGGATAGAATATTGAATCTACACATAAAACCCTACAACTAAGTTAATTATACGTAAATGTTGTAGATAAATTTTATTATATATTTACTGTTTTTCAGTTATATACCAAACTAATGCTGTTATGCTTGCGCTATACTCAAAAAATTACAAAATTAGTGATGCTTTTGGACATCACCTTTAAAAATTTGTTTCTCCTAAAATTTTTGTTGTTGTTGCTTTGTGCCAGAAAACGGTTGTTACAAAGTTACTGGTACGAAAAAACTTTCTTCGTTAGTAATACGTAACTTTCATTTTTTTATTATTGTTATTTACTGCCAACTATTAAATTATATATAAAAAAACATAAGTTTGGTTTATTACTCAGAAGGAATGATTATGTAACAAATTTTATATACGAAAAAAATCTACAACAAAATTTTCAAAAATGTCCTGTTTCTTAAAAATTTAAAGGACTAAGAAAAAGTTGTTAACGACATATTTAGTTTTCCGAAGCAATATTCTATGTTTAAAAATAACGGAGATACTCCGCAAATATTACCCAAAATCTAACTTTTTTATTTTACATTAAAAAAGAAATTTAATGCAAAAGTTGTAAGGTATTTAAAATTTTTGTCTTTGGCTGCTATCTTTACACATATTTGTGTCTTTTTAAGTAATCAAATTTTGTTTAAGTAGCGATTTAATGAACCATAGTGATTGGAGGATATTTTGAGTTGGAATATTTTGTGCATAGCTGTTGCTACAGAAGTATAGTTAAGTCCTAAATTTTCCTGCAAAAAAGGAAATGCTTGTAATTCTTAACAAATTCTTATAAATAAATAAGAGCAGCATTTCATTTTTTATTTTCGGTTTCTCAACGTCAGTAAATCTAAATCAGATTTCTAAATTCCTCCAAAAACAGTTCGATAAAAAACTACGGATTTACTTTACATGCGACTAGATCTAACAACACAATTTTCCATTTTACTGGTTAACGTGTTTCCTAGTTGACGTGAACCGAGTTTAGGTTTTGAATGAAGCAAAGCTACAAACATTGCGTGTATAAAGTGAATCACCCCCTTTCATTTTTTTTGCTTAATTCAATTACAAAAAATTCATGATAAAATAGGAAATAATAATTATTCAAGATTAGTTGAACCTTGATAACGTTTTAACAAAAAGAAAGTACGCGAGTTTTGAGGAAAAGAAAAATACTGTAAGCTCAGAATCGTCCACAAGTGCAGCTGTCGTTTATCCTTTATAAGATAACATGTTGCTCGTCGATGTCGAACACACAACTTTTCTCGACGAAGAACTTCTTCGAGAAAAACAGACGGAAAAGGGTGGTATCTGTTTTATGTAAATTTTTATCAAAAATTGGTTTCCGACACGTCCCCGTCTCGCACCGATTTAGATATTCCGATGGAAATATTCAAAGTCTCCGAATATTCCAATTTGTTTGCATCGATGATATCGGGAATTGTTGACGCAATTCCGCGACGTATCCCGTCGTCGAATATCTTGATTGGTCGCGGGCCGGAATTTTAAAATCTCCAATCGGCGATACATCACGCTCCGTTTGAAATTTCTGTGACGTAAACTGGTCCGCACAATTGATACATTTTTAATATAAGATATACGGGATATGTGCTCAGCGAAAATTAAAAAATTGAGGATATAAAAAAATTGCCATATTTCCATAAAATGGCGTATTTAGAGTTTGAATTCAAGACCATAATCAGACTCTTAAATGTGGAACGGATTTTTTTTTGCATCAATTTATATCAGTTGATTCCTATGATGTTTCAATTTAAATTTCATTTTTAGGATATTTTAATTTACAACAAATATTTTACATTTTTGGTAATACGTCCTTATTGTTTTTATTTTTTTTTTGTCTTCTGATACCGTTATAATTATTATTATTCATTTTGCATTAAAATGATACGTTATCACAAAACTGTAAACTAAAGTTTAACTTACTCTATATACTATCAGACTTCAAAAAAACCAATATCTAAACAATAGTTTTATTGTAAAAAAACTCAAAAAAGAATAAAAAGAAATGACGGGGTCGTATATAAAGTTCGTATACAATTTGAATCAGAAAGTTGTAGTTTAATATCTGCTGGTTTGATTGAAATCTGATCGGAGTCGGCAAAAAAAACTATTGTTAAACCCAGTAGTTGTGTGTAACAGACTGTTGGATCCAGAAAGCGGAATTTTAAGTTGATATCTGCAAATTTGATATAAGTTTTGTTACAATAAGAAATAGACTACAAAAAGCTCCTATTCGAAATAGAAAATGGTGTTTTATGGTGACATATGCTGGTTTGTTAATGTCTTTGTTTCAATAAGTAGCGGAAAAGCCGAAAGCTTTACAGTTTTCGACAGAATAAATGGCGGAAGAGCTGATTTTGACTGGAATGTGATTGAAATCGACCCAAAATTTGAAAATGAATTTGAAAATTACATAAAATTTAAATTGAACATTTAGAGAGAGTAATGCAAACGGATGTAAATCTTCTTCTTAACATCACGAATTGTTTAATTTTCCCGTGTAGCTCAGAAATTACAAGTTTTATTTAAGATCTGTGCACACCGCATTTTTCCATCTTCCATAATCACAGATTTAAGAATTGAAAAAGTCACTCCCCGTAAGACAACACCGTGTCTTTATCATTTGATTGTGTTGTCGAAACAATTGTCATGTCAAAATATATAATTTCGTGAAAATCTGAACTTTTAGTTCTTATTTATTTTGATAAATGGATTTTCATCAAGTAAAAGCCACCTCAGTTCATTTCTTCTTCCACCAATCATCAAAATAAAGTCCATATTGATTGAAAAAATTGGCCGTTTTTCGCTCATCTACCCATTTCGGTCTTTTTAGGTAAACGACGTAGAAATATCCCCGATGACCCACGAACAGGCCGTTCAATATCTGAGGCAGTGCGGGGACAAGGTGAAATTACGACTGTACAGGGACTCGGCTCAGACTCCGGTGGCCGCGCTGTCTCCGACGGAGACGACGCCGAGAACATCGTTTTCGAGGAAAGCCAATTTGAGGTGAGAGGCAGTTTTGCGGATTCGCGCGAAGGCGCGGCCGAAACAATGGCGATCTCGCACGCTACCTGTTTAAATATGCATTACAGAAATTCTATTACGTAGGGAGGGGAAGAGATAAAACGTCGGGTAGATGAGGTCCTTTAAATTTAAATATCTCGCCCGGCTCACGTTTCGAGATTTCGCTGGGTTTGCTTTAGGAATAAAAAAAATAAATATAAAAGCGGGTCCTATTAGGGCTACCCCGTAGTAGGGAGCTAACATTTTTAAATTCAAAGTGTGTGCTCTAATTACTCATCTAATAATAGCAACTATGGCTAAAGATGTTTTCTAATTACTTGCTAAAGATACCTAATGGCATGATATTACGACCTGATGCGCTATTTTGTGAATTTGCACCTAGAAGGGTCAGCAATTATTTTGTTTCATTTTCTATGCCTATTATTTGGCGTATGCAACCGATCATACCTCTGGCGATTTTTGTTCACTGTGATGGGGTTTTCGCAACACCATACTCGGTTTTCGTGAGACAAACGATACCGTTTGCTGGCTTTGTCATTGAGATACAGATATAAACAGAAAATTTGATCATTTCAGTACCGTAATGAGTCCAGTAGCGTACCTAGATTCTTTTTAAAAGATATTATTTTTTTATGCAACACCCTGTATATATGTGGTTTATTCTATTTGTCTATTTTAAGGTTTTCAAAACTGTCAAAATATATATTTTAAAATACTATTGTTATTATTATTTTATTACAAAAAATAGTAGACGTGAAAAAAACTGATTTTGCTACTACCAGACATTTTTCGCACACTTTACGAATTTTGCTTTGGGCATTTACGAGGGAACACTTTTTTTTTTATGAAATGTCAAGCAGATTTTGTGAAAATTGGCTTTGTAAAAATATATATTTATGTAATATAAAAAATAAGTATATATATATATATATATATATATATATATATATATATATATATATATATATATATATATATATATATATATATATATATATATATATATATATATATATATATATATATATATATATATATATATAAATAGTTATAAATTTCCTTTAATCTGCATCTACAACATTTAAAAAGAAGTATATAAGCCATATTGGCTGTCTGACTACAGACATATACAAATATTTATAATAATAATTTATGTAAATTTATTTATAACATTTACTACATTTTGTATTCTGTAGTTTTTCTGATCATAATTACATTATGTTAAGTGAAATAAAATAAGGATGAAATACAGGCGTATTTTCTAAAGTGACAATTCTACAGAATAAATGTCTAACCACCTTAAATTTTTTCATTCAGACTTTAGAAAAGAAAGTTTAATATAATAGTTTTAGGGTACAATTGCAAATTTTCTTCCACGTTATGTGATTGATTCAGAATAAAGTAGCGCATAAAAACTTTTTTTCTATGGAATGCTCCTTATCTCATACTCTTCGGTGAGAGCTTTTTAAACTTGAATTTCAAAAATAACACATCATATTAATAATTATTATTTTTATGTGAGGTTAGTAAAAAAAAGGTGGAAAAATAAAATTCAATATCTGGGAGGTTTTGAACATGCGGAATTCAAAAATGTTAACAGCAATGTTGTCAGATTCCCTATGTTCAAAAACCATCAAAATTCTTAGATAAGGCAGATCTGACAACCCTGCTCGTTTTTAAATTCTGCATGGCCAAAAACCCCCAGATATTGAATTTTATCATTTCAAATATTAAACAGTTTAATAAAGATGTCAAAACAAATAATGAAATGTATGAAAAAAATGGCGACCCTTGGCCTACTAAGTGAAATATTATTTTTTAGTATTCTCTGTCTTAAATATTATCCTTGAAATCACCGTTTAAAGGCCTCTGATATAAAAGTATAATACACAGGGAATTTTATAAGAAGCAATGCAACTACAACTTTGGTATTAAAGTTTTTTTTCAACGGATCATCCTGTACTTTGGATTCTATGTAAAAAGATTCATAAGCGTTCACTTCCATCATCTAATTACGATACAGTCAGTCAGCTAAGATCTTCTTTTTTTAAAAAAAAACTTCCACAGGCTACTGCGATACTATTTACAAAACTTCTGGAACCCTTGGTGGCAAGTAAAGACCTGAGTCGCGGTTAACATTGTGGCAAGTGTGGAATTGATTTCGGGCTCATTGCTATTAGAAGGTTGCGGTGAAGTGTATTTTGGGATGGAACGCTTAATTAAAGTGTGTGTAAGTTTTCCGTAAACAGAATGACCCAACGTTAAGTCTAATTTTCTATTGATATAAGAATGGAAGATTATTATTAATTTTTAATTCAGTAGTTAACATATCTTAGGATGCATGAGGCCAAATATCAAAAGTAATATCAACGTAGCGTTTCCATAATTTTGGTTTTAGATGGAAAGTGTCAAGCGCTTTCTTTTTTAAATATATCGCTTTGAAAGCGGCATCTTTCACTCTATCTCTAGGAATTACTGAGATACAACGCAATACTTACGAAAAATGGACACACTGTACTTCAAGATTAATTTAAAAGTTTTCTTTATTATTTCCAAAATTTGGTCACGTCACGGGCCTTTACGTTCTCTGTGCAGGCAAGAGGCGGTCGACATGTTGAACGACATCGCGGTCAGGAAGCTCATCCCCGGGGGCGGCCACGAGTCGACCAACCACCACCACCACCGGTCGCTTTCACCGAACTCGTCACCGCGACGCTTACGACGCCACGGCCACGCGGCGGCCGAAACGTCATACGATCCGTCCGCCAAATACACGGTACCGGAGGAATCATTCCACGAGGGGCTCCTTCAAAAATGTCCCCATTACGACGACGACGCCTTCAACTCGTTATTCTCGATCGAGTCGGACGACATGGACAAACCCTCACGGCCCAGTTCTTTAGACTTGTATAATCCGAATCAAACTCCAGTGGCGGCGAGGTAAGTCAGTCTGTATCCACGGTTTTGAATGACAAAAAATCAGTGATGTCGATCTAAACTCCAATGGCAATAGCGCCATAAAAAAATGAAGCGAATGTCACAATGACAATGGGGATTGTTGTCTTTCTCTTTCTCATTGGGGTGCTCTCGTTATTTACTGATATATTTTTTTTTTCTAATTTGTAAGAAATAAAATTTAAAATAACCTTGCTTCTTAAAAAACCTCTGAACAAAAACGCATACTAATTAAAATACATACTTGTTTGTTTCTACTCACTTCTGTGTTCTTATTGGTGTGCCTTTCCGTTCCACATGTTGACGATAAACAAAACGATCTGAACTTTATTGACTGCTGCTCTGAACAATCCTCGTGTTGACAGGCAAAACCAAGTTCTAAGGTTTTTCAACCAGGAGATTCTACGTCTCCCAGGTCCTGTTCTGCCCAAGATCTTTTCTTAGAATATCAACTCTTTTGGTTATTCATTATATGTCCCAGATATTCTAATTTGCGTTTCTTAACGATGTCCACTATTTCGATGTCTTTCTGAAGCATTTCTGATACATTCTTGTTGAAAACGTTATTAATCCAGGAAATTCTAAGGATTCGTCTGAAGAGCCACATCTCAAAGGCTTCAAGTTTCTTTGTGGACACTTCCGTCAACGTCCCCAGGACTCGGCACCATGCGAAAAGCATAGCACTTAAGTAGTCTTAGTTTGCTTTGCAAATTAAAGATGTTTCCCATTCTGACAAAAGTAGCTTGCTTTCTCTATAGGGAATTTTATTTCTACAGAATGGTAATATGTGTAATGGCAAAAAGCAAATGAAGTTTTAAGGGGTCGACACTGTTAATCGGCCTTTTATTGGTTTATTGTTCGGTTTATTGAGGGTAAAAAACATTTTATATTTATGATATTCCAAGCAAGTCATAACATTTATCGTGTCCTGGACCATACATTTATGTATGACAGAAAACAGATTCCTTTGTGCTACTCTAAATAAAATTTTCCTCACAAAATCAAAATTGCAGTTTTTAGTTGCAGTTTAGATCCAGCTCACCATAAAAAAATCAACAAGGTATCGGTTGTGCTTTCTGACGCAATTTTCAAAAATATTAATATATCTATTACGTATGATTAACGGTAGTTTTTAATTCCACAATTCACGAGCTTTAGAAGAAAGCCAAGCCGAAACTTACGAATCCTAAAGAAGTCTCAAATTTGCGCCCAATATGAACAGCACAGATATTTTTGTTAATAATATATCCAGCACCACTGATAGGAATAACATTCTACTACTCGTACGTTACAGTAAAACGCTTGATACTATAAATCATAAACTGTTCTGTGGTTCATTTTTGGGTAATAATACGTTTTCCGGAATCCACTACCAACCTTGTTTGTAAATTTCCCTGTTCCAACTTGCATTCCAATAAAATTCGGGCCCTTTTTAAGGTCATATTCTTTATTACCACGTTTTTACTATCAATCCCAACTTACCTCATAGAAAATAGTTTATGTGAGAAGCGTCATCTGCCGGCATGTCGAACGTTAATATGAAGACGAATTAGACTCATAACATGAGAGCGCTTACGTCGTGATTATCTTCCTCCATGACAACTACCTCTCGCTTTATTTGTGACGCGTGGGTAGGCTAGAATTATCGGTGTCCTGATAATATTGTTATCGCGAACCTAATCATTCTCCTCAGAAAACCCCGATTCAATTTTTCCCTGGCCCACAACGCGTACGAGCTGAATAACTTGGACGCCGAAGTCCTCGACGCGCCGAATTTGACGTACAATCTGGGGACGGACGAAGACGGTAACGTGCACGCGGATACCGGCGACGATTTCCCCAAAGAACCGGCCAGCATGCCGCACATTCCTCTAGACAATTATTCGAAACCGTTCAGCTACAAACATCCGGCGTATCAGTCTGCGCATCCGCCGTGCGGCAGCGAAACGTCCGATGGCCGTAGCAGCAGCTCGAAAACTAGCGAACAGTCTGAGGATAGCGGTACTCTGAAGAGGAAAACGTCGGCTATAAGGAGAGAGCCGCCCCCAGCTAGGAACGACACCCGCGACGTGAAACCGCATCAGGAAAACTACGAGGTATCAGTTCAATAACTCTATCACCAAAGACGACAATATGACTTATATAAGGAGACTAGTATAAGTCATAAATAAAATGCTGAAATGCTTAAAAAAGCAAAATGTTGGAATATTTAAATATTTTAGTTAATTCATTGGCTAATTTTAACTAAGAATATACATCTAACAACCGTTAATTCTTTTGCACCGCCTAACACTTCACAAGAGCCATGTTTAACATTACAACCCTGCTATAATCTGGACCATGCTTTTAATTATGACCGAGGAAACTTTTAGGGATTTTTTTCTATAAAGGTTAGCTTTCTCAAGCATTAAACGGTCGGAGTGTTCCATTCTGAACTTTCGATCCATTATGCCTGCACACCTTTGCTCCCTGCACTTGAAGAGCCTGTACTCTCAATCTTCTAATCTTCTCAATGGGCTGCCGCCTAGTGGTGCGCATCAGGTTAGCCTGGAAGACTCTGATCAATATACGACGTTACCGCCGACAATCTGTCAACCATTTAGTTGCTCTCACTACCACATGAGCGGGTCCATACGAGACTGACAGAATTACATTCCGCTAGTCTTGTTAATGTTTCTGGGAAATCAAATGGCAATCCAAAACTCACCCTCAGGGAGGACACCAGCTCGACTGATGGTTTTGTCCAAATACCCTCTGTTGAAGTTCTCATGAGCTTACAACAGCATACATCTCTGCTTAAAGTAGACAGGGGTAAATCTCTACTCTAAAAGACCAACCTCTAGCCCGTGAGACACAAGAATATTTTCTCTAGTACAGCCCCAGCCGTCCTTTGTAGGGACCCTCTTCCTGTATACTATATGAAAGCCTGGTCTGGTTTTTAGTGCCCTTCTGTCAACGCATTCCCGTTCCCTGTAATCGTAGGACCGCTCTACGGACCTTGATCCCCACCCTAAGGTAACTTGAGGCTAGGAGCAGTTGTGGTTTCCACAGGCATACCAACTTTTAACCATATATTCCCTGCTAAGTGGTAGAATGTCGTTTATACGACTAAGACCGTTGAAATTTCGGGAAATATCAATTTTGATTCATGGAAATAATATAGATTAGTTTCTTTTTGTTTGATATGTCTAGTACGAGCCACCAGCCAAATGCAAGTAAGTAAAAAAATATGATTAGTGATTGAACTTTTTCAGATCCTGGCGATTGAACTGAACAGAGGTTGGAACAGCAGGTTAGGATTTAGCCTTCAGGGGGCAGCTGGAGTCACTTACGTCAGTGCAGTTCACGCTGACAGCGTGGCCGCCAAAGATGGAAGGATTAGGCCAGGGGATGTGCTTTTAAAAGTAAGTGCTAAATAATAAACGCGATAAAGTATTCTTTGAACTACTTTGAGATAACCAGGAAAATATTCAAAACACATACATAAAACACCCGTTTCGTTTCAGGTCAACGACGAAAGTGTGGAACACCTGAGCACCAATGAAATAATAGATTTACTTCGAATAGTTAGAGGTCCAGTTTGTATAGTTGTAAAAAGAATCAAATCTAATGAAGACTGTCCAAAAAGCAATGCAGAGAATTGAATTAATAGTACAAGAACAATATACCAGTTGTCTCGGTCGTTTTTCAACAGTATTTGCGGAAAATTTTTGTTCGACAATGACCGAGATATCGCAATTATTGTGTCCTGACACTGTAGGTAAACAATCTGCTTCGTTACGTTTCCGCTTTTCGAGTGAGAATGACGCGCCCTGATTAAAATTGTCGCCTCAAGACTTAAATGTGTGTTTGGTTGTTTTCCTTGCCCTACCATAGGAGTTCTGCAAGTGTGTGATGAAAAAGTATGGTTAAAAGGGTGTCGGTACGCTGTTTGTTGAAATTATTTCTATAAACTCTTATACGGGGTGATACACGATTATAAAAATTTTTCGCAAATTATTTTGATGTTGGATATTTGAAATAACACAGATTTTCATACCAAATTTCAAATACATTATTACAAAAATATGGTTGCATCGTGAACCACCCCGTATATATCATAGCGTTGTAATTATGTAAGTATAAGAGTTGTGATAGTTCTTGAAATTTCCTGCATATATTGTGATTAAAAGTTAGGTTAGTAAATTCGTTTCTTCCGGCCGTTAAAATGGCTGTAGCAAAATACGAACTTTCAATGAAAACGAGGTCAATAATGCCGGAGGTCCGGGACGGAACTTAAAAAAATATTTTGCTCCAACCACTAAGCTAGTCTGTAAAATAGTTTTAAAAAAATGGACTTGTCGAGGTTTACAATGTATTATATCCTTAAAGGTGGATACAGAAAGGACACCATCCATTTCCACCGAAAATTTCCAGTAAAATAATTTGCATCAAACCTTTGTGTATCCATCGCCACTAATCTGAATGGATGTAATTAAAATTAAATGCAAAATCCGTTTAGGAAAATTTAAGCTATATATACATAAATAGTGCAGTATTTACTTTGTAAATGTAACCAAGGCACTTAACTAAGAATCAAATTACATTCTAAATTTTTGCCTGAATAGATATTGTCGTTATTTTTTTTAAAACGGAATCAAAATGTAAATCAACTTAGCAATATTGTCGATGTTGTAGGCAAATTAAAACCAAAATAAATAAATTTATTCGAATCAATATTGGCGTACAATCTCTCTCTTGTTTCGCTAAATCAAAAAAAAGTCAATTTTAAATATTTAAGTATAAGATTTAATTTTGAAGTTATAGTGTCGCTAAATCGTTAGTGCAATCAATGTACATTTCGTTTTAATTTTTTATGTGTTTTACTGCAAGTTTCTTATACACATCGTGTGCTTACACTAAAATTGGCGGCATCATTATTTCAAAAAATGGACTATTCAAAAACTTTTACTTCCAACCCCAAACATATATTTGAAGACTTTTTAGAGGTGGTTTTCCAAATAATCCTGATTCAGAATTAAATTATATAAAAAAAACACTTGCCGTCAATGTAACTATGCACAGGTATATACTTTGTAATTCGTTCTCATGAGCGTTATTTCTATTGATTTTTATTATTTTTTAATTAATTTTTATCCTGATTTAAGAACCAAAGACAAGAGAAGAAAATAAAGAGTATTAAAAACATATTTGGTTTATTTTACTTTACCTTATTTGCTTCAGTTGTCCTAAACTATATATCAAAATTAGATTGCAAGCAGATAAAATTTATTATTTTTATTATTTAGGCATTCTATCAATCTTAAGTGACCTTTAAACAGGCAACTAATATTTTTATGAACAAGCTTGCAACCTGTTGCTCATTAAACAACGAATTTCTTTCTTTTTTTGCTTTAACTGGGACATACTTCATATCCACTAGCTAAGGTATAGGCTCCCATGTTAAATGAAGATATGACCGCCTCATTTCTCCAAATATATATAGAATAGATATTTTAGTTCGGATGTCTTCCTGAAAAATTTCAACCACAAAATTTAAGGTGAAATAAAAACCTGAACTGCGATTATAACAGCATTTTATAGTGAATATTAAATATTATAGCGTACTATCACCAAATTTTCTAATACTACACAGATTCCTTCCTCTTCCCTTAATGTAGATTCATCAATAGATATTCCTCTTGATAGTCTCATTCAAGAGAACCTTAATGTCCGTTTCACAGAAAAAGGATACTTTTGAAAGGCTCAGTGAACATACTTGAAAATGATAGAAATCACACACATCACTTAAAAGAGTTTACTAAAGTATAAGGCTTTTGGCTTCTTCAATCCCAAGGAGAGCCAAAAAATCAGAACAGACAAACAACTAGAAAGCTAATTTTTCTGAAAATCTATTACGCCTCAAGAATGGCGACTCTAATAAAGATAGAAGATAGAGGGGCATCAAAGATATTTTCGTTAGATATAGTCATTTTGAAAAATGTTGTAAATTATGGCCGAGTTAAAATTTCAATAGCATGTGAAGTGAATGAAAATTATTTTAAAATACAGGAGGTAGAAAAAATATATATTCCCACTAACCTAACAGTAATTATGGACCATTACTTTTGACTCAAAATGTAATTCGGAAAGTTTACTTTCCATGTAATAGTTATGCAGTAATTCGCCCCTCTGGCAACCAATTGTTCAAACTGTCGCTCGAGATAGATAAACAAAAAATAGATTACAATTAAAAGTTGTTGCTCAAGCTGGTACTGATTAAGGAGTCAAGTTAAGGATCCAGCAGCACCGATTTTTCACTAGTTCTTTTACTACTACAGAAGTAAGCTTATGCCTTGAGTGTTCCTCAGGCAATATATTGCATTTAATAATCACCCTCCAACACTTTAGTATTTTTTGAAATAAGTAATAGAAAAACATACCATCAGCTCGCCTCAATTTAAAATGACAAATTTTAAATTGATTTTAAATCAAAATTTAAAAAAGGTTTGGGGAGAATTTTACCGTTGTTTAAATCCTTTCCAGCATTTCTAGTTTGTTTGAGAAGTGAGAACAATCTATTTTATTGAGTCGTGTAAAAAAACAAAAAGACAAATTGCAAAAACGTTATGGATTTGCAGGGTTGTATTGATTTTGTTGAGTGGAATGATTGGAACGAAGAAAATATTGCTAAATATTAATAATAATATAACTTTATTTATTCTCTAAAACAAGTTTAAATTTTTTCAGAGAGACATATCCTAGAAAAACATTATATTCTCTGAAAAAACTAAAATATATAAAATCTATCTAATCTATCTAATTTTACGTATGCTTTACATTTTCCAAATCTAATTTAATTTTAAAAAATATACCTCAAAAAATCAAAAAAGGCGCCCAAACCACCAACCAGCCCAAACTTCCTACTGGTCCGAAAATGACATATGTCAAAATTTTATTTTCTTTCTCAATAGTGGACCAAACATAAACTAATTTTTACGACGTTGTCAAGCTTAACACTTCCTCAAACTAACCATCAAAATGTTAAGGGGACCTTGAAGAGAGTTATAAATATGGGTATAAAAACAAAGTTTGGCGCGCAAACTAAGACTTATCCGTCTAGATGTATCTATTCTGTGATATTGCCATTAAGTTTTGCATATATAGATTTTCTATCTGCAGTTTTTGGAGTTTTCGGGTTTTAATAGCCAAACATTATCAAATCACGAGACACCTCGCAAAAGGCGGCGAGATTGAAACATAATTTCTTTATCTGTTCATTAAATAACAATTTTTCCGGCACTTTAAGCCATTCGAGACGGTTTTTATCCGATTTTTAATATCTAATTCGATCGTCGGTCGTGAAACCACCGAAATGACTCCTTCCGCTGCCCAACGGGCCGTACCATTTTACTACCACGGCCACACTTCGCCGAGCAAATGCTCCAGTTTGTGAGCCGTTTGCGTTATTCCGACAGTGGCGGTGTTTGCGTTCGGGCGGGAAGGTTCCCACGCGACGACGCTTTTGAATTGACCGCGAGTGCGAAAGATATTCAAAAATTAAGTCCAAGTTTCGCGCGCAATAGGTTTTGTGATCGTCAGTCAATGCGATGAAGGTAGGAGAGTATACAGTGATCAAAATTTCTGTCATTTAAAAATTTTATCGTTTCCCCAGTTAGGGGCAGGCATTTCCCGCGTTTTAAAGAATTTGTCACTGCATAAAGACATAAAAAAATTATTAGATAAAAAAAATTTAGTGGGTAGCTGTCAGTTCTCAAGGCGTTTCTTATTATTGCTTTATTTGACATTGTTAGTCAGAATACAAAATATAACAAACTTTATCTAAAATTTTGCATTCGAATGCCATTAGAATGAATTTGTCAAACAGCGTCCCAGAAATCGAACAAAATCTCATTTTTAACAATTTAAAAGTTAGCTACATCAAAATATTAAACTGTAATGTCACCTGTCAGAGTAAAAGACCGTTTTTTAATATATTATGTATGCTAATTAAAGGAATAAGGGAAGGATGAGTTCTAATTTCGCACGGATCCATATCGTATACTATATATGATATGCCATATAGCATTTTGTACCATTGATTCGTCAGCATCGCTCTTGTTTTTTTACATTTTACATTTATTATTTATTTATTATAATTGTAAGTAGTACACTTTTGGAGTAGGTGAAGAGTTTTCACTGGAAGCCATGATCTATTTTTTTATATTCCTCCAACAAAGTTGTTTTTTATCAATATTACAAAATTTTCTGCTATCTATTCTGTAGACTAGTTCTTCGTATGCTTTTTTTTACATTGTGCCTATCTACAAGTTTTATTCTTATGCAATATTTGTTTAAATAAAAAAAAATTCTATACTTTTTTTGTGATAAGTTCTTTGCCTTTTTTAATTTTTCTGTTTTATTTACGATAAAACAATATTTCTGCCATTATTTGTAAGATTTGTAATTTGTAAGTTTTCTTCATTTTGCAATTTGGATTCACTTCATTGAAGTTACTTCATTATTTTTTAAACAGGAATCATAACTATTACCAAGCAATAAAACGCCGTCCTAACTATTGAGAAAAAATCCTTGGCACGGAGATAATAAACCAATGGTTTCATTATATGGTAAAGTCCAACAACCAACTGTGCATAAACCAAAGGGCAACATGTTAGATTAATAACAGACAGAATAAAAATAAAAAAAATAAAAAATTAATTTCATTTTCAATTATTGGGAACAGAAAGTACGCTTCTTTCAAGTCCAGAGTGGCCACAAGAGTGTTTCAGCTAACTTCCTATCTTCAAGTGTAAAATGACAAGTATCAAGAAAAGCAGTTCTTTTTTCAGTTTCTTTAAATTTAAGTAATCTACTCGAACCATCCGAACCAAAACATTTTTGAAATAAATTAATTCTTACAAGGCTCACAAGTTCCAGTATAATAACAATAACGCTTACTAATAGTTTTTTCTACTCCCGTCAGCACAATACTTAATTACACACCGATCTAGCGTGCGGGAAGCGTCACTTTAGCACGTCAGTTTTATTTCCCATGAATCGGAGCCACTTCGGACATTTCCGGGATTTTACCGCACGGATTTGGGAACAATCGGATGATTTCGGAGATATTTAACACGCTTTGAATTTTGACGTTTGTCAATTCTGACGGTCATGTCAGTGAATGTATTCGTGTTGTTTGGCGAAAATGTACCCAAGAACTAACGGTCGTAGAAAAAGTATAGTATGCAACACGTTCGCTCAACTTTTTAAGTCACTCGTTAATTAAACACACGCTCCGCTCTTGTCAAATAAACTAGTGAGTCAAATGCCGTTTACCGCACTTGTTGCATAATATACTATTTTGCGTTACATTCTCTTAATGGTAGTTATCAGTTATTATTTTTTTATAGTAAAATATACTCCTTGACGCATAAATGCAAATTTGATATAAAATTATTATTATTAGTAGTAGTACTGTAAAAAACTATTTTTCGTTAGAATGAAGGAGGTACACTTAACGACGGTTAAAGTTTGTCATGCGAACGCTGGTTCGCCCTGTATATTTTAATACCCAACGACGGTTACGACGCAAATTTTCGACCATAAAAAAAACTCACCGACCGAGATGCCCGGTAAAAGCAGTAAATTAAAAACGTCATAGTGTACCATTTCATATAATTTCAATATCGTCGAGAAGCGATTTAGATTTTGTTAACGCGCGAAACGAGAGAAATCTGTGCGAAGCTAATCCCCGAAAAATTCTTCACAATACAACGTGAACGCTTCGATTTATCAAACGTTTCGGATCAGAAAATTAATTTGCAATTGATGACGTAACCATTTCAACTACCCGGCCGTGCTGCGCCCGTGCTTAGCTGCAAAATATGTACAGCATAATCCCAACACATTTTCTTGCCTAATCCACATTGGAGCAACTGCTCTATGTCTATGTCATCTATGTTATTTAAAAACAAATTTGTTCAAATCCGGGAAAATTCTATTAAATGAAAACCAATAAGGCTCTACTTCAGAAAAGAAGCTTTTAGAGCAAAAGGGCACACAGTAAATTATGCAAAAGGAGCTTTGAAATTTCCAAAAGGAAGCACAAGGAATCATTTCACTCTTCCTGTAGGAAAAAGTCTATATTATAAAAATAAATTGATATTTTCGGATTGCATTCATTAAGCCTATAAAAAAATCACCAT